ACCTAGTGCTCTGATACCAACTTGTCACGACCCGAAATTTCCCACCGACGGGACCGTGATGGCACCTAACATTCCACTTGCTAGGCAAGCCAACATTAGAGAATCATTAAACCAATTTCTTATTTCCATTCAGTAATTAACAATAATTAACTAAGATAAAATATAATATCATAAAACTATATTAATTACTACCACCCGGATCTGGAGTCACAATTCACGAGCATTTTAGAATTTACTAAAAGTAATAGTCTAAAAGAAATATAATTGTCTGAATGAAAGAAACCGTAGAACAGAAAAGATAGACGGGGACTTCAAGGTCTGTGAACGCTGACAGATCTACCTTGAGTCTCCGAACAGCGGACCAATAGCAAAATTTCGATCAACCCGAACCGGTATCAAAGTCTGCACAGAAAGTGCAGAGTGCAGCATCGGTACAACCGACCCCATATACTGGTAAATGTCGAGCCTATCCTCGGTGAAGTAGTGATGAGGCTAGGACAAGACACCTACATATAACCTGAATAATATAATCATGCTAGTGGCAACAACAGTAAATAAAAAAATAAAGCAGAAATAATAAGAGGGAAACATACAGTAGAGAAATACAACATAAAGAGTGAAAATAATGAAAAGACATAATTAAACCTGAAATCCTTAAATGAATTGAGCAATTAAAACAACAAGGAAAACTGCACAGCATCACCCTTCGTGCTTTTACTCTCAACCTGACCAAATAATAAATAAGACTGTAGGGCATCACCCTTCGTGCTTTTACTCTCTTTCTCACAATATAAATAATTCATACACGGCATCACCCTTCGTGCTTTACACTCTTCCTCACCATATAAATAAATCTTGCACGGCATCATCCTTCGCGCTTTACACTCTTCCTCACAATTCATAGAATCAATAACAACGGATAGAGAGAAGTTTCACAAAGAAATCAATATTTCATCAATGATTACTTTTACAATTTAACATCTCAACCTCGAATCAATATTCACAGTTTTATCAACCTTGGAGGAACCGGATATAAGTCTCCCAACATTTCAACGATAACAATAAGCATGGATAACAAGATTTAAGACAACAAATTTGCAAGACTGGAATTTCACTTGGATGCTATGACTCGACCACAACGTATAGATGCTCGTCACCTCAACTATACATCGTATTCAACAACAAAACACGTAGCAAATACTCACCTCAAGCCAAAGTTAGACATGACACTTACCTTGCTCCGAAGGCCACTTAATTCTCAATCACAGCTTTTCCTTTGGAATTCAATTCCAAACCACTCTTATCTATTAAAAAATGACTAAATAATATCAAATATTGCTTAAGAAATCAATTATACTGCATAAATTAAATTTCCCAAATTTTCCTCCAAAATATTAAAAAATCGACCCCGGGCCCGCTTGGTCAAAACCCGAGGTTCAGACCAAAATCCTTTTACCCATTCACCCCCGAGCCCGAATATGTAATTAGTTTTGGAATCCGACCTCAAATTGAGGTCTAAATCCTCAAATTCCCGAAATCCCTAGTTTCTACCCTAACCCCTAATTCTACCTTGAAAACTCTAGATTTTAGGTTGATAATTCATGAAATGTAATGGGTAATTGAAAGAAAATGCTTAAAATCACTTAATTATGATTTGGGAAAGAATTGGTCTTTGGAAAATCGCCCCTTGAGGTTTAGGTTTTGAAAATTTGAAGAATGAATGAAAAATCCTGTCTAAGCCCCTTTTACTCAGTTGCAGGTGTCGCAATTGCGACCTGAGCTTCGCAAATGCAAAGGAACAATCGCAAATGCGAAGCTCGCAAATGCAAAAGAACAATCGCAATTGCGATGCCCTTCACAATCCTGCTGCCTTTGCAAATGCGAGGAAAGTGTCGCATTTGCGACCACTGAACCTCGCAAATGCGAGTAGATGTTCGCATTTGCAAACCTGCCCTTCCCAGACTCCCTTCGCAATTACGAAGGTAACCTCGCAAATGCGAGAACTGCTGGCCCAGGCTTCTGATCGCAATTGCGATGAAAGACTCGCAATTGCGGACCCTGTTATGTTCGCATTTGCGATGCCTGATCTTGCAATTGCGAGATCAGAGGCTTGCAACAGGTTCAGTTATACCAGCAAAATTTTCTAAGTTCAAAACATCCCGTGGCCTATCCGAAACTCACCCGAGCCCTCGGGGCTCCAAACCAAACATGCACACAAGTTTAAAAACATCATACAAACTTGCTCGCGCGATCAAATCGCCAAAATAATACCTAGAACTACGAATTTAGCACCAAATCAAATAAAATTCTCAAGAACACTTTAAAATTTCTATCTTCTCAACTGGACGTCCGAATCACGTCAAATCAACTCCGTTTCTCACCAAATTTCACAGACATGTCTTAAATATCATAACGAACATGTACTGAACTCCGGAACTAAAATACGGACCTAATACTAACAATGCCAAATATCAATCAATTCTTAAAAATAAATAATTTTCAGACTTTTAATTTTCATCAAAAGTTCATAACTCAAGCTAGGGACCTCCGAATTCAATTTCGGGCATACGCCCAAGTCCCATAGTTCGATACGGACCTACCGGGACTGTCAAAGCACGGATCCGGGCCTGTTTACCAAAGTCAACAAAAATTAAATTTTAAGGCAAAAATTCTTATTTTTCATTAGTTTTCAACATAAAAGCTTTTCGGAAACCTGCCCGGACTGTGCACGCAAATTGAGGAGGGTAAAAATGAGATTTGTAAGGCTTAAGAGTGCAGATTCGAGTTCTAAAACATAAGATGACCTTTTGGGTCATCACATAAGTGGCACTACGCCAACTGGACTGCCTAACTCATAAGTCTGCCGCAATCTATAAGTAGCCCCTGTCAGCTAAAAAGTAGTAAATGCAGTCCCACAAGTGTCCAAAATACCCGTTGTGCGAAGAATCCGCTGGCGTCGGTCTATAAAATCCTGAGCATCCTCTGACTCTCCTCTACTGAACTCGGCAGATCAAGCCTACTAAACCGCTCCAACCTCCTCTGCATCGGTCATAGGTGGACCAACCTCGGCCCGATCAGCAACAACTGGCTGCACTGGTAACACCCTGGGTGTCTGATGACCCTGAGCTAGCTGCTATGGAGTCCGAGCGGCGGGAGTCTAGGTACCTCCCCCAGCCTGTGAAGTAGCTGGTGCGACCGTAACCTCCTGAGCCAAGCTCGTGCGCACAGTCAAAATCTGAGCCAAAGCCTTCTGAAGACCAGGAATAATAATAGGTACCGCTGGTGTCTGAGCTGGTCCCACCGGCTCAACAGTATCTGGAATTGCTCCTCAGTTGGAGCAACCGGTGGCTCCACAGGTGCTGCCTTAGCTGTAGTGCGATCCGATCACACGTGTCCTCTACCACGGCCCCAGCCTCTCACGGACCTGACTAGTGGTACTGGTGCATGTTCGCCTGATCCGATCACACGTATCCTCACCATCTATGAGAGAATAAAAGAGTCAAGGTTCAAACTTCGGAAAAAAATAAACTCGCACGACAAGAATTGAAGAAAGTGAAGTTTTTCTAACACTTTGATAGCCTCTCGAAGATAAGTATAGACGTTTCTGTACCGATCCGCGAAACTCTACTAAACTTGCTCATGACCCGTAATACCTACAAACCTAGGAATTGAGTGGATGACTAAAGTAGGAGAGAGCTTTAAGGAGTGGAGTGGAAAGAAAAGAATGATTGTTTGCATATGAGTGATTTGACCAAAAGAAATAAAGTGTAAAAATATAAACAGGAATGAGTATAATGAATTAGATTACAAAGACGTATCTGTGACAAAATACTCTAAAAGTTTTGAAGAATTAATCCATAATAATTAGCCTATGATAGAATTATAATATTAATTGGTAAGTGATCATTCACCAATTAATTAGTGTAGATGAAATAGTGTAAGAATGTGATTAAGTATGATTAAAAGATCCTAATATTTTTATGAATTATATTAAAGCAGATTTTATGTATTTTGCAAGTGGCAAGCTATTTTGAGTTATTTACTTCATTACAAATATTTAAACAACTAAGATAATGATTAACCTAGCATGATATTATAAGTGTAGTTAACCTAGCATATACAAGTGAGTCTAAACTAAGTACATAAATAAAAAGTAAATACTATATCTACTAGTATTTTATTTTGGCTATATATGATCAGTGTTTTTCAAATTTTTGAATTATTTTTCAAGTTCCCATTTTTGGATGAAAATTTTTCTTTCACTCACATAACTTTATTTTTTTATCAAATAAAATATATATTCAAACACAACTTTAACTTCCAAAAATTATTTTTTAACACAACTTCAAAAAATATTTTTTAAATTTCAATCAAATCTCTATCCAAAAGCTAGCTAGATTGGTATTTGAAGATTTTATTTTCAAAATTTGTCAAAATATAAATAAAATCTATAAACAAATAAATATTTAAAAATAAAATTCAAACTTTGTGGCCAAACAGGAGCTAATAATACTTGGTTGAAAAAGTTTTTCAAAATTTGTTGTCAGCAGTTTCTGAAAGCCAAATTCCAATTTGTATCAGTTTTGAGTGTTGGAAGTTGTACTGGTTACTGCACCACAGGCGGCACCAATTATAGCCTACCTGTCGTCAACATTTTGTTTTTTCTATTTCTTTTTGTCGCTAATTTGTTTCATTTTAATCAATCTTTACCAGAACCTTAACAGCAATCTCATCAGATATCTAATGGCGGGAGCTGCCGTATTCCCAATATCACCACCATTTCCCGTCAACTTATCCTTGTCATCAACTTGTTTTCTTTCTCCAACTTGTCACTCATTACCTCTCCGTTTGCTTCTTCACAGAAACCCCAAATTGATCATTTGCCATGCCAAGGTCCATTAATTTTTTTCTATCTTTTGCAATCAAATAATCAATCATTTAATTTTTTCCTTTTTTCTGGTTTTGTCGGTGTTTAGTTTGATGGGTCTTTTGGAGAAGCAGCAGAGAGGATGTACGGAATGAACTTTGAAGGAGATGAATTGGTGGAGGAAGAGGATGAAGAAGATAGCGACGAGGAAGAGGAGACAGAGAGCAGCTTGGATTTGCTAATGAGATTAGTGGGGAGCATGTTCAGGAAGGTTTCAAAGCGTGCTAGGAAAGCTACTCGTTCTATACTGCCGGACGTCATTCCTCCACAGCTTGTAATTCTTCAAACTCCCTCTTTTCTAGTATACTCAATAATTAAGCATATCAATTACTAGCAGTGTTGGAGCCCCGGGGCTTTAAGTTAGAGGGTGCACTGCTGGGGCGGATGTAGAGTGTAATTTATGGGATAATCTGAACCCTATAGCTTTGGCTCGGACTCTCTATATTTGTTTAAAAAAAATCACTAAATAGATACAAATTATTGATTTCGAACCTAGTAAATCAAATGAGTTGTGGTAGAATCCCGAAACTCGAACCCATAGAGTTCAAATCATAGATCCACCTCTAAAATGCAGAGTGTCGCTTAATCATTTCTGACAATGGGTTTGGACTTTGTGGTGCGTGCGTATGTTTATTTCAACTAAATATGTAGTTCGAGTTCAAAGAATGCATCTGCACACCCCTAACAAATAGGATATTTCATATGAGATTGGTGTCTAAAAGACTTTGTTGCTGAACTAAGTGTCCTTTCATAGGCATAAGTTTAATGCTATAAGTGGAGCTTATCTACCTGGAACTAGACTGTACATTTCTTGGACTGAGGTGACTAAGTAATTGATAGACATGTATAGGAAAATCCGTACGCTCTCTATCAGCATCTCACCTTGACTGTGTTAGGATGCTGAAAAACTAAGCATTTTTATGGTTATTTGTAGATGTATGATGGCCATTAGTTCCGATTGAAGGATAAACTTTCTTTTATTTGTATGTGGAGGGAGGTAAACGGGCAATGGTGTCAATTCTCAAGTAGATCGTCAAAAGACTTATGTTATTCAACTGTAGGTGCATCCCTGTTTCAGTTGCACCAACCACCTGATCTCCCTCAAAATGGCTTTCTTCACCTTTTACATAAACATCGTCATGGGCAACTCTCCTATAGCGGCAGTGGTACACAAATTGCCAATGTGACGCTTGTGGTCACATTAAACCACAAACCAGTCTACTCTCATCTCAAGCCTTCCTAGCAGATAACATGGTGGCATGATCAGGTGCTCAAAGTAAATTAGCAGAATACTCTCATGCTTCTTAATGCCTTAAGCGTCAACTCAACAAAGATCTCACCCTCTTAGTCTTTTTCTTAAAAAACAATTGTGTTCCTCTTGGACTATGGTCATGACAATCTCATGGTAGAGCTTGTAGTCAGTGGGAGGTTTGCATAACACAGGCCGCTCATCGTGTGCTTGAAGCTTTGTCCTTCACTAGATATAATACTCTTGGACCGCAACTCATATATTGTGTATGTGCATCTGTAATGGCTAAGGCCATTGGTCGCCTCTTACTTCATACTGATCATTGCTCGAGTAGGGAAATTTCAAATTAAAAGTTTGTGCACTTGCCTCGTGCTTGCACCAACATACCCACTTATCATCACCAGATGAGGGTCAATCCTAAGTCCTTTTCTTGCTTCTAGTGCGACTGTCAAATAATACTCACACTTAGCATATAGTGTAAGACATTTCCAGCCATCATGTGATGTTGCTTCTTAAATACACTTCTAAGACAATTGATCCTTCTCTCAAGATTGAACCTAGCCAAGCTCACAACTTAATGCACGAAATTTAAAAGAGTGGTGCCTCCAGTGTTCAAAAACAGGGAGGTGTTTTTCACTCGCAAATTGTAGCCTGTAGAACATAGTCATCACGTACTGGCAACATCCAACTACGGACACTCAATTTTAGCACCGAGACTATGCATTGTCCATAGATTTTCCTAGCTCGTTGGTGACCTTAAACACTCCTTCAAGTTGCTAGACAAGCTCCTGAGGATGACATCCGAGATTGTTCAGTCGTGCAGCTTGTTGGTGGCACGCACAGTATGCAGTCACAATTTATGTCCCCTTATATATGTCTTAAAATAAACAAAGCGACAGGAGTAAACATGTTGTTGACACTATCATGGTGGCTTCAGTTATATAGACTCGTTTTGAACATCCTCTATTCCCCTGTCAAGTTTCAGTTCATTCTCATATTTGTGGACAGTGTCATTACCGTTTGAAGTTGCATATGATCACAGCAACGGTGAGATTATGGCAAGTGAAATTTGTATGAACTGAATTAGAAACAAGGCCATTTTCGGTGTGTGCAGTCTTGCATCTTAACATCTTTCAAGCTCCATCCCGAGATTTCACTCCTCTTGAATTCAACATTGTGCCCAAGCGACTAATACTCTTGCTGCACTGTAGGTAACCCTGATATGTGTTGTCTGCGTAGCGTGGCACTGTCGGGGCCACTGGCGGTATAACAGGTAGTACAGTCTTCTGTGACATTATGGTTGGTTGAGAGATCAGTGTTATTTGATATTCTATGGTACTACTGTGGTCTTCTTCCATTGATGGAAAGCAGCGTATCTTGGGTCATTCACCATCAGCTCTTGAATGAGGAATGAAGAAAATCATAACTCAACATGTGTGGATTTTGGGTGTGTTTGGTATGATGAAATTTTTTTTCTGAAAAATGTTTTCTAGAGAAAAGTCATTTTCTGGTTTTGGTTTCCAGAAAATACTTTTCAGGGAAAACATTTATCACTGAAGGGGAAAAATGACTTCTCACCTATGGGCGGAAATCATTTTATTTCACAATTATATCAACTTTTAACTTCATATCACTGCTTTAACTAACACTTGACATTATTATCAATTTTTAATACTCAGTATTCAACAAAACACTATCCAGTTTGCTAATATTATTATAAATCTTTAAAAAATGTATTTTCTGGAAAATATTTTCCAATGTTCAACCAAACATTGGAAAACATTTTCCATGAAAATATTTTTCTAAAAATAAGTCATTTTTCGGAAAATGACTGGCCTATACCGAACACACCATTTATCCAGACAGAGTTGTCTCTGTTTTGTTGTATTAAAGATGGGTGTATCAAATTCTTTTAAGACCAGCAATTAGCCAAGTTGCTCGGACTCTTCACTTTCGTTGCTGCACTCCTGTCGACACGACGTGGGTGTGGGTATGGGATCCGTACCGAATCTGATCAACCGATTTTGGGTACTTTGACCAAAATCGAGGAGAAATTTGGGACATATATAGTGTAACTGAAATCAAAATAAAAACTAGGGTAAAACTGAAGAGAAATTATATGTCGGTCCTTTTCCTTTTATCTCCTTCTTGGATTCTGCTCTTGATCAATATTATCTCCTTCTCGGAATACCTTGAGTTTTCACATAATGTCTCATAATTTGGACATATTTTTGTAACTTTATTTTAGATATTTGAATTATTTTTAGTCGAATCTCTGCACCCGTATCTATACCTGGATCCGTATCCTCGAATCTTAAAATTTAGATCATGAAGGATCCGACCTCTAGATCCGCACCCGTATCGGACACCCGCACCCGAGTCCGAGCAACTTAGGTAATCAGGGTATTGCATAGAGCAATTTACGTGTAAATTAGTTAGAAGTTTTTGGTTGTAACGACACACTTTTTATGATTTCCCATTTGAAGCTAGCATGAGCATCAATCTAACGTGAATTCCAAGGTATCTGGTTTCCCAACTTCGCTTTAGCCACCTCTTTAAAAGGGAATGGATGTTTAGCAGAATTGCAATGACTTATCCCATTGCATGGTAATAGTAAGTTGGTATATCTCCTAGTGTGCTAACTTTATGGTTTTCTTACTTTTACGAGTTAAGTTGATTTGTGCTTTCATGGCAACATGAGTCAATCCACCTTTAGAAACTTCAATTCAGCTCATACCTGGTATAGTACCGTGTTTCTTTTCTTTATTTACCATATCGGGGCTATCAGTGCTTTCGGTGTTTTCTTAGTTTTGATCTTCTAATTGATCATTTCCAGAAGTTATGTTCAGAATCTTCTCTCTTATCTCTTCTCATTGTTGGAGGAATGCAGGTTTCTTTTGCAGTTGATGGAGTTCTAATTTTGGCTTCACTCTCCATCTTGAAGGCATTTCTTGAGGTATTCCTCTGCCATGTCATTTTCTCTTACAGAGAACATAGAATAATGGCATGCTACTTGTTTTAAGGGTTTGCCCATTTAATCAAATCTGTTTTCTGCTTCTTTGTGGCTTCAAGCTGCCTATCCACTAATTAAAGGAAACAGATATGCAGTTCTAAAAATGTAATATAAAAGAGGTTTATATAATTTATCCAGCATAATGCTTATAAAATAAAAGTGTAAATTTAGTTTTTTGTTTTGTATTTTCTAGAGTCATGGAAAGTCCTTTACATCTAGAACTTTTACCATATAATTAGTAAACATATATACAAATTATGCTACTATTTCTTTCCCTATTTGTTTGTCATTTTCATTTATCAATCAATGGTCACTTAGACTAACTGCGCAACTAGATTGAATTTACATTTTGAATTTAATTTATATGTTCAAAAATTGTGCGAAGAGTACTTTTCTCTCCATCTTGATTTGTATGATACTCTTTCCTATTTGGGACTTCCCAAAGTGTTTGATGCCAAACCATTTTCGTACAACCTTTGCAACTTTCAAGAATTCAAGCTCATTAAGCTATTCAAATTCTTTTAACTTTAATAATGTGATATTTTCTCTATCAAACTTTCAATTACTAATCATTATTTTTTCTCTCACTTATATTAATTCATAAGCCAAGTATTTTATTTTGATAACGGGAAGCGTGTCAGGAAATAGGAAGGAAAAATTAACGAAAAGAAAAATTCAATTAACTTTACAAGACAAGATTTACGTGGTTCGACAATTTTTGCCTAATTTACTGTCACACAGAGTATAGTTTTATTGCCAGAGAAAAAGAACACTGTTATGATGAGTGATGCAAATGAGAAGTGATGCCTATTTATAGGCAGGGATCAGCTGAAAATCAAATTTAACATCTTGAGCCTCGTTCCAATCAAGTTACCCTCATATAAAATGGAACCGAGGGAGTATAAATTACAAAATACTCATATCAAATCAGTGAGGAGTAGAATAAAAACTGTTAGTGCATGATAACTTAGTTTGACCCTCAGAAAAAGACAAACATTTCGGACAGAGGGGGTATTTTTGATCTACCGTGTTAGCTGAACCAGTCTGTTTCTTCGGGTGTGTGTGCACGTGTAAAGTCTGCCAGTACTTCGCACTTTATTTATTCAATCGTTCAACTTGAAAAATCATTTTGCTGCTGCTTTGGGTAATGTTTCTATTTATTCAATCTTTCAACTTGAAAAATCGTTTTGCTGCTGCTTTGGGTACTAACAGGGAGGTAAAAAAAACAGGAGAAAGAAATATATAGGAAGATGATAGAAGTTTTTAGATCTTTTCCACCGAGCATTAGGCAGTGAGTAATTTATCTGTATCTAGACAGTTAAATCAAGGGTATCTCTGGATGCAACCATGTTATAGTTTTATCTGATGTCAAGGGCTTTTGGAAAAAGCACTTGTTTCATGGTTTCTGACCTAATTGTATGCACATTAACTCAGAAGTAATGTGCCAAAACCTTCAACCGGATTAGAAGATTAAACGCTACAGGTTCTGAAGGTTCTAGTGAAAAGCAATTTTACGTCTTCCATTCTAATTTAAGCATGATTAATGGTTAAATATATCAACTTCTGCTCTTGTGTGGATGAGATATTGATCTTTAATTGAACTCTGCTACTGCCTGTTGATTATGATCATTGTCCTTCTAGGTGATCTGCACACTTGGTGGTGCTGTCTTTGTAGCAATTTTGTTGTTACGTGTGCTCTGGTCGGCTGTTTCCTACTTTCAGTCTACTAGCTCAGGTTTTAACGATGGTGGAAGTTCATATGGCAGAACACAACCCGCTGCATGATTGAGCCTAGCCACATACCTTTCATCTGGTTAATCATTAACAATACAACAGTAATTCTTAAAACAAAAAAAACTGTTATTAGCAGTAAAATGTTCTGTAAGTAATAGTCACTTATAATTTGGCAATGTGAATTTTACATGTTCGAAGATTTTGGCAGCTTCTACAGGGAGTTGATTCATTTTTTGCTTGGAGTTTGCACATATTTTCAAATGACAGATGATGAAGCTTTGTGGTTTTTATTCCTCTTGAACTGTGTATCTTGATCTAGATATGAGGCAATTTAGTTTACTTATTATGCCAATTGCATGCTTCCTTAGCTAAAATGGTCAAGCAGTATCTCTATTTACTGGTTTTATCAATATTTCTCTTCAAGAAGGAAACAGCAGCAGTTTTAAATCGTCAGGAAAAAGGAAAACATGGGAAGGATTCAAATCCCACTAGAGCTTAAAAAAACCTTTGGTGATTTCCTTTTGTTGTAAGTCTTGGTGGATAGCGTTTATTTGAAAAGTACACAATTACCTAGTATATCATACTATAGTATAAGTGTGAACCTTTAAGATGAAGATTGAAAGACCAAAATAACCCTATAAAAAGTTAAGTGGCCTTAATACCCTTCAATAAATAAATCATTACATTATGTTAACCACTAGCCAACCTATTCGCTGCTAAATGTATAGAGAATGTAGGGAGTTGAGTGAAAAATTATTTCAATTAATAATTAGTGAAAGGAAATCAAGCAAACCACTAGCCAATCTCTTCGTTTCTAAAGAGAAATTGAGAAGTTGGATAAATGTACATTAATTCAATTAATAAAAATATAAATTTAAATCAAGCAATGCCAATCATGAAAGAACAATATAAAAGCAAGAAGGGGTTGCATTTCCCTCCAGCCTTCTTATCATTGGCTTTGATGCTTTGGATGCTTTTTAGTAGATTTTATTTAATCTTTGAATTTGAAATTGAAAATAAGAAATTAATTATTTATTGTGTAGTCTGATTATGATAGTATTAAATGAAGTTATATATAGTATACTCCGTATAATATGTGATAAGTAGTTATTTACATAAAAAAAAATGGTAGTGTTTGTATATTTTAATTTGCAGGGCTTATCTAATGGTATGTTGGCAACTTAATTCAATCTTCAGTTGTTTCTGGTTAGCTGGCTTCACAATGGTATTTTTGAATCTATTTTTCTTTCATATAGTGTTTACAAGTAAATTGCCATGACAATTATGTTTGGTCATGTGCATCATTCAGAAAGAAAGTTAAGAAATTAGAAGAATATATTATACAATTGAGTTATGATTATAAAAGAACAATGAAACACATAATAAGAAATTGCTCAATTGATTCAAATCTTTTTTACAAATAAGAGGCTATAGATACTTTCTTAGAATAAACAATATAATATATAATCAACTTAAATTTTTAATTATACTAGTGGATGATTAATACATTAATTTAAATATTTATAAAAATTGTATTAATAAAAGTAATCATGGATGAAAAATTAATTAGAGATCTCTTAAATTTTTGTTTTTTTTAAAAGTTAGGTCGTTACTAAAATATAGAAAAGGCAATATTGGATTCCCCAAGTTTCTTTGACAACCTATCGATTTATAGCATATGCCTTTAGACTCTAACTATTGGCATTATTTGATCGTAAGATAGGACTTTCTTTATTACATAATGCATAAATATTTCACAGGTTCAGAATAAATCCAATTTTTGAGGTCAACACCAAGTCGCTAAAATAAGATTAAATTTCATCATTTGACTATTATAACCTCTTATTAAATGTTAAATTTTAGATGCGCTGAAATTTTTGCGCCAATATAATTTATTGCTACTGTGGGATGATCTCAATGTAAGCCTTTTTACCTCTTAGCATCATGCTTTTTCCATCGGTTAAGAAACCAATCAGCAACTTATATAAATCAACATTTAAAAGAAGATATAGTCGAGGAAAGAAGTAAATTTGCAAGTTTAACGTGTAAGTTCATTGTCTCTTATATAAATGTCCATGAAATTGTATATTAATATTATTTATGTAATTTTTAATTAAGCAACACCGTCTACTGTTATTTAGTATGAAATAGTATTTATTTTATATTTTTTCCGAAATTCATATACTCTTGTGCCATAAATGAAATATTACGTAGTCGAGTTTTTCTCCCTTCAACTTTCATTTCCTATTTAAATTTTCTTTTCGTTTTCCTTTTCAGAATTTTTCATTTTCTGATATGATAATTTGAGAATTAACTAGGTTAATTTAATACGACAATTTTATAAAAAATAATTAAAGTATTAGTGTAATTTATTGAATTACTTTATTTATAAGGCACATACTGACATTGAAGAGATAAGAAAATGATGCAATGACCATATATCTCTACAACCGTTGCTTCTACATTGCAGGATATATGTATCCATTGAGGAATACTTAATACACTAGACTTATATATGTGAATTTTCAAAGAATTTATCATAATTCATATATCTATTGTCACGTCCAACGAGAGCATGAGCATTCCACTATTCTTTCTTCTCATGGGGCATATTTTATTCCATTTTGTTGAAAATTTTGTTAGGTATTGTTCAATTAAATAAGCGTTCTTTTATTGGAGGACAGTGTGTGGTAGGTAAAATACATATAAATATTAATATTATGATTTTTCGTTCCTTTTAAATATTAATAAATTATTATTGTTATATGTAAAATTATAAAAAATTTAGATTCAAGTTATCTTGCTTGAATAGAATGGTATTTTAAAATTATAACACGATATCTATATATATCTATATTCGTATCTACACATATTACCTTACCAACATTATATAGGCCAAATTCAATTATCCTAACAACGTCACATCAAATTCAACAAATCTGAGTCTAGAAGATATTAATGAACTATTACTCCAACCTTACTATTTAGTAAATCTTTTTATGTTTAGTATATTATGCTTGATAATGACAAAAGAAAGTAGGCAATCAAATAAACGTTTATTTGATTCAAACAATGTGTTTGAATCAAAATAAGATACTTTTTCAAACGTTTATTTTATAATTCAAACATATTGTTTAATAATATATGCGATTTTTTAAAATTGTATACTAAATTATATGGGATACATATGTTCTATAAATTTTGGTGGGTTAGCCAATATTTGACAACTGAAATAAAGTAGTACTATTAGGTGGCTGAAGAACTAAGAGGTATAACTCTTCAATCAGGGTTGTCATGCTTGGTCGTTTTAGTTGGAAAAATAAGGTTGCAAGAATTGTACCCTCAATAGTTAGCTTTTTTAATGACAGGTAAATGCAAATAATTCTTGAATGAACAATATTGAATTTTATTTGATTCTATTATAATTTTGTTGTCTTGACGTGTAGAAGCTTGTTAATAGTTCTCACATGATAGTACATGTCATGTATGTACAAACTGTGAATTAAAATTACATAGATGTCAAGAGTTCTGGTCATGACATACCAGTTGAAACATGAGAATGAAACATATATCGTTTCAAAATAAAATATTATGTGTGAGATACGTATTGCATGTTTGGACCTAATAACATCAAAATTAATTTCATTACACATTGTACTACCCGGCCTCAATTTCACATGGAATATGTCAAATAATGTTGCATTAAAATTTCATGTTACTCATCCCACTCATGTATACTTTAAATAATCAAATCATTTTAAAAAAAAATATATTGATTGATATGTACGTGTCCAAAAACTAGTTATATTAATAGACATCCACTTAAAGCTAAACTGAAGTCTGAACACCACTGTTATTATAAATAAATAAAAAGAGTGCCTTCTACTCCGTGTTACTTCTTCCCACAAATGCTTTTAGAACAACAGGCACAAACTTCAGCTTCTTGATATACCTTAATAACCATTTCAAATAGGCATCTTCACCATTATACTATTCATTCATCATATACGATAGATTCCGTACAATGAACAATGAACAGAAGATACGGTGATTTGTTTCTGGCTGTCCTAAAGATTTTCAACAACTCTGTGCCTGATCAGAAACAAGCTATCTTTAAATCAAGGAACTATTATTTAGCCTCCTAAGAATTTATTAGCCTTTGATGCCGATTATTTACTTTATCTTCTTTCAAATCCACCACCAATCTGCATATGCAACCAATCTGGTGATGTTCCCCCAGCATATTCCCTTGTACCTTGTGAACCAAATGCCATAGCGTTTGCCTCGAATGCTTGCTGCCCGAGCTGGAAAAACCAGAGCACCTCGTTATGATTTCATCTAAGAATTGAAAACATTTCTCTATGTACGATTATTTGTGCTAAATTATTTTTAAAATTACAGAATGTATTTTCCTTTTTGAGCTTAGAATATCTTCCTTTTCTCTCTTTACAATTTTGCTTTGGTTTTTCTTAACACCTTTCCAACTTATATCAGGAGCTAAATTTCAACGTGCTGTTAAGTGATCCCTCTTATACACACTCGTTGCAATCTTGTATCTTCAAACTAAGATATACTTTGTAAAGCGAGATGATAATAAGAGTAGCTCAGAGAAACCTAAACAATTGCCAACTGTCAATCGCTACAGTTCTGTGTTCAGAATTGCTAGGCATTTATCCATAACTTTCAAATCAGTCTTTGATAAGTTTTCCGCCAGTCTCAGAAATTTTGCGTGCTGCTATTTAATCACTAATTATAATTTCAAGGAGCTAATACCAAGCCAGTCTCAGAAGTCGGAGGTGGTTTGCTAGATGTGGGCACAAGGCCCCCAACCTCCTCCAAACACCAAAAATCTTGATACGACATCCAAGGCTGACGGGAAGTTATGCCATGAAAAAGACAGATATCGGATAAGGGCATAGAGTTCACCCTTATATATCAGCAAGTTAGAAGGTAGCTGAGGTTCTAGTGGAGTTAAAAGTGTTCGACAAACAAGATTATATGTGTAGTTTCCATGAAGGACATGTTTAAGGTCATCAGAAATGCAAATTACTGGTTTGTTATCGACATGAACAATGAAGAATAAAATACAACTGGAAAGACGTTCTGATGTAACACTTACATCTTTAGTAGGAAATCCTTCGATGTGTGGGGGTACTCTTGTATTAACTGCTTCAAGCTTCATCGATAGGAACTGAAGATTCAAGAAAAAATGTTTAGTGTAGAAGTCTCAACAAGAACAGTGCAACAAGTAAGGTGGATAGCATACCTCAACCTGGCGTTGTAATGATTGGACATAATTGATTATCTCATCAAGGACGAGAGCTTTTCCAATAACCTGTAACCAAACAATGTCAAACTGACTTTCCCCATTGCATTTCAAAAGCAAATGGTACATACCATTGAAATTGGATTCACATTTTGATGTTAATTTATGTGAAGAGAATTAGAGGTTAAAGTCCCACCATCCTAGCACCAGCGATGGGGCTAGAACGCAGGCAGCTTTAGAGACATCAGGTTCATTCTGCTCTATTTTCCAGAAGAAATTAGATGTTAAAACCAGCACAATTCCTGCACCAATCATGTGGCTGGAATGCAGGTAGCTTTAGAGACATTAGGTTCATTACACTATAGTTTCCTGACAAATGAACAGCGGGTACAGTTAGAGAGTTCTTTGAACACCAACAAATGCCTGATAGCAGGAAGGCTGGTACAGTTCTGAGGTCAAGTAGGAGAGCAAGTAAAGACCTTTGGCATAGAAAAATATGACGAAACCTACATGCTGTTGCTTTAATAAGTAGTTCAAACAGATGGCTCATTTGTATCCACACAGCTAAATATTCAACAAATTGAAAGCTGATCATAATGACAAACAAGAAAGATAAGTTCCAAGGCTTTGCTTGCATAGGGGCTCTTTAAGAAATTTGCTAACTGCTACTGTCTTATTTTGTCGAAGTTGATGTCTTTGAGATGTCAACTAAGGAGACCAACATTGATCCAATTTGACTGTAGTGCAATTTCTGAAAGAAATTTTGTGAGCCTTTGTTTGAAAAGGATGACAAGGTTAGCAGGTTTTGCCAGTGAGACTCAACCCTATCATCTCAACCAAAAAATAGGGACATTCGGTCAGAGGCGGATTTATAGGGGGGATTATGGGGCACGTGAACCCATGGCCTCTCCGTAAAATTAAATATTTTATGTACATATTTTGTAAAACTGGTATAATACTAACTGTTGGCACCCATGCTCTAAGAAGCCTGGATGGTGCACTTGGTTGAAGGTTGAGTTATTTACCAAGAGGAATAGCAATCAATTCCCACTTAATACATTTTTTCCTCCTTTTTTTAGTAATGCACCCATGTATTAGAAATCCTAGATCCGCCTCTGGTAATAAAGTCCAAGACCACCAAAAGTATCAGTATGCATTAGATTTTCTTTTTTTTGGTACATTCAGATTCATCTAATAACTAAAAACAAAACAAATGGAAACGCAGCTGATCGGAATGAAGGTTGCTTCAGATTTTTCAACAGTAGAAAGATAAAGGAAACTGTAGCATACCTTGTTACAACCAGGGACCAAGTCTTGTAGGATTTTCATCCTCTCACTGATCTTTTCTCTCCTGGCCTGCAAACCAAAATGGTCCAATCAGCAAATTCCATTATTGCTCATACATAACCATCATTTCCAAATTATGACTTTTCCACAAAACCCCATAGTGCATTTGGAATTAATGTCGGATAAGAAAGTGTAAATGATGAAAATAATGAGGAAGAATTACTCTTTCTGCTAGGCTGTGACTATCGGTAGCTTGACCTCTCCTTGCTCGCACATGAATGTAATCTTTAGGTGGTTCAGCTGACTTTGCAGGTTGGTCTGCAGATTTTCCTGAATTCCCTTCCCCATCACCTCCGGATTCATGGTTCTCATTNCCCGGATTCATGGTTCTCATTTGATCCCGTGGCCTTCAATCGTTTACTATCAGATTCACTCTGCTAAAAAATAGTAAAAGATGTAAAAAATTATAAGGACGACATTTTGTATATTAACATCACCCCAGAATTATCCGGAATGTGATCACCTCAAAACAAACAAGAATCAGATAGAAAAGTCAACATAAATCAATTGCGAAAAAGGTCCACTCTAACTAACACAAAACATTGCACCAAGAAACAGGAAGGGTCAACAATAAATGATGTACCCATCTCATTCTTTACCAGCTTTCTACAAATAGCACATCGATCACATAGGCAGATCCAGAATTTGAGCTTTTGGATTCTAGTCGGGGATTTTACCACAATTCATTTGATTAACTGTGTTCTAAATCAATAACTTGTACTTACATTTGTATGAGCCAAAGCTACTAGTTTCAGATCAAGAATCCATAATTTGTATGAGCCAAAGCTACTGGGTTCAGATCAAGAATCCGTAACTCACCCTCTACATCGGTCCATGATAATGAGCAAGATAAAATAACAGAAGCTCAATCAATGAACTAATCTTCAATCCAAATTAGTAAGTCTGTTTCCCTCTATTCAGGATTTGAATACGAAGTAATTATTGTTTAATCAAATAAAGGAAGGCAGAATTAACTGAAGAGCAGCATTAACGTACACTACTGCAGTTGCCACAGCAATGCAATAAAAAATTTAAGATAAATTTGAAAAAGAATACCAAGCCATTGCCACTAGTTGAAACTCCTTTGGCAGATTCGTCATCGTCGCGTCGTTTCGTAGCTGAACCGGTTCGATGATTTGTTCTGTGGTCGAGATCATTCATGGGAATATGGTGATCTCCATTAGCATACGCATTGATCGGAAAGGGCCAGATCTCCGCCAAATTAAAGGGCGGATTAGCGGCGGCAGCTTGAAATGCTCTTGCTTCATTCATCATTGGATCCATTTTAGAAAAATGCTAATGTAATAACATAAATAAATAAATAAAGAAAATGTAGAGAAATCAAAGCGGGGAACAAGAAGAACAGAGTTAAAGGGTGTGTGTCTGGGCGAGATGGACTGTCCACCACCAATATTCACTATTCACTGTAGAGAGAGAGAGAGAGAGAGAGAGAGAGAGAGAGAGAGAGAAAGAGAGAGAGAAAAGAGTTGAAAAGAAGTGACTTCGAATGAGGTCTTAACTCCCAGTGTTTTCCAACTCACGTGTACTCGATCCACTCTCACTTCACTTATATATAGAAAAAGATTCCTTCTTCTTTTTTTAAATACTAGTCTCTCTACGTGTATTCCACATATATATTTGTAAAATATATATAAAATATATACTCTATCCCTTTCAATTTATATAAACTCATTTGATTGGGCACAGAGTTTAAGAGAAGAGAGAAGATTTTTAAACTTGTAGTGTAAAATGAGGTACATATATTTTGTGTGGCTATAAATCTTTGCATAAAAGTAAATTGTTTTCAAATAAGGAAAGAAGTCATTCTTTTTTGCACTGGCTAAAAAGAAAATATGTTCACATAAATTGAAACGGAAGGAGTATATATATATATATATATATATATATATATATATGTATATGTATCATTTAAGAAAGAATAACTAAAGACACATAAACTAAGATGTGAATAGAATCCAAAAATGATTCTATCAAAAACATTGGAAAAACTATTATTGAAGAAATGATTATTTAACTCAGAAAAGAGTACAATAGAAATCCATCGACACAATTTGTTTGCCATATATTCCTTGGACTCAAAATTCAAGCAAGACAGGCCAAAGACACATAAACTATAACATGTATATAGGAGAAAAATGATTCTACCATAATAGCAGTAAAATGATAAGAATCTAAATACAAAAATAACACATAAATATAGAAATATGTTAGTTTTTCTGCATGTACAATGCATGTGTATGCTGAGTCTGTTGCATAAGTCATTTGCATGTCCAAATTTTTAAATAGCATGATAGGTGTATTTCTTTCAAACAAACATGTTCAAGGAAGCATAAATATATCTAATTTTTTATTAGTATTTGTAGCCACATAAGTGTGTGCGTGCGTGTGTGTAGAAAAATAGAGAGAAAGCGAGAGAATAAGAGAAACGTAAATAATATAATGGATTTGACAATGTACTTAATTATGTGGTGAAAGATCATTTGATATTAAAGAATTCAAAGTATTCAGTAATTGGTGTATCATTTTCTACGGAGTCAAACTAATACTAATAATGTTTTGCTTTCACCAACTTCAAGCCTTAAATAATCTCTAAACATTATAGGAAGCAAATTAATAACTCCTTTTTTTCCCATGAAATAGGAAAATATTTTTTCAATGTGTTTCATCTCCCTTTATGATCAACATTCTCTATCTTCGTGTTGCACTATTATTATGACGTTCACTCTCTTATAGCATTTTTTGCAAATTAGAAGAATATCATGGCTTATCTTTTTTTATGATATATGTAATCTTCACGTTGAACCTATAATATTATTTTTATACATGCTATCAAATTGTATATCAACAAACCTATTTCATTTGATAAAACAAATAACGACCATAATAATTGTAATTATCCCTAATCTTAATATGCATGCAACACAAATATCATACTTATGATCTCATGATCATCTATACTAACATTTATACATATTAAACTTCGTATATCATAAGCATGGATAACTAAAGAATAAGTAAAGTAAAAAAATTAGAACCTGTTTTTTTATTGCCACTTTCTTCTCATCAAATCATTCGTTGATGTTTTGTATTTGGCAATTCGTTGTAAAATCTGCAATGATTTAAACCTTCTGCTGCTTTAATTTTTTCTCGAGAATCCATGTAGCAAGACACTGGGCAGTTAACTTTACCTTCTAGCATCATTCGAAGTGATTCATCTTAAAGAAGGTTTCAAACGTTACCTTCTCCTTTTGCTTCTTTCTTTGTCGATATTTTCCAAACGTAACTTTTGCAAGGTGATCACTCCAAAAAATTGCATTTAAAGTTAACTCATGTATTATCTTAGTAATCAATTGTTGCATTAGATTGGTAATGAGTCTAACAGCAAACATCATTCTTCATCGGAAAGTTGTAAGTCGTAGCTCATTGTGGCTGTTATATGACACGATGATCAATAATAAAAGAATTGTTACTACTCCCTCAGTCTCAAATTATCTATCATGTTTCTCTTTTATACGTCCCTTAAAAAATATTAATTAGGAAAGGGATTAGACTATTTTACCCTTATTTATGTCGTAAGATAAAATTTCTAGCTCTTCATTGAATATTTATTCTATTTATGTGTTATCATCATCTTGAAGAACAATTATTATTAAGGGTAAAAAATGAAAAAAATAATCACTTTTTTTTTTGAACTTTTAAAATGACAAATAATTTGAGACAACTATTTTTAGTAACCACGACTGATAATATGAGACGGGGAAGTAATTAATAATAGTTTTATCAATACCAAGAAAGCCATAATAAGTTTTCCAAAGTGGCAGACAAAACCAAATTAATTTGAAGCATCGAATTGACTTCATCAAATTGCAATTACTATTGTATGCTCCTTCGCTAATCTTCTTTCTCCTTTATCAACCAACAATAATTCTCGTTGAGTTTTTCAAGTCTCTTCATACTTTGATATGACTTGCAGAACATAGAAGACTCCGTTGAAAACTGTTTACTCGAAAAAACAGATAGAGTTGAATTTGTACGTAATTCTAAGGGTGTAATTCTAAGAATACGTGGTATAACTCGACACAAATCGTAAGAGTAAATAGAAATATTGAATATTGACAGTAAAGAATGAAAAATAAGCAAAGTTAAAAAAATGATGATTTATGAATTAAGCAAGATGAATCAATCTATGAAGCTAAAAAAGGATAATTCTTCAATATGAGAGTGTATGATATCTGAGTTACAATGTATGCAAAACTTCTTCTTTTTTTATAGAAATATAGCCATCCCTTTTATATAGGCGGATCTCACTTTAGATATAATTAAAAAAACATAGTGGGGAACCCATGATAAGTCAGTTTTTTCCTAATTTTCGCCGAGATTCTCTCCCTTAGTGCGGCTGCAACGACTCTTGTCTATGAGCTCGATCTTGATTGGACTCAGCATTGGTCGGTATTGGTCGGTTTCCAGTCTTAAGGCTCGATGCGTGTTTGAGGTCAATGCCGACTCGGGGTCCGGTAATGACTTGGGCTCGGTATTGGTTAGCTTCTGGCTCTTAAGCTCGATTCCATCACATTTCATCATAGTTCGATTTGAACCCGAGCTCGATAATGACTTCGAACTCGGTATTTGACCTGTACCAGAAATTTGAAGCTCGTTTGTGCCATCTTCGGATCCTATCTCGATATTATGAAGACTTTCTTCGGTCCATTATGATCCCATCTCGATCAGTCGTACGAAGGCCGAAATTAGTTTCGACCGTATACAGATAGTCCACTCGTTTCTCGGAAAGAATAAGGCGAGAAACGATATGATTTTCCAATGGCTCGATTGGATATGCACTAACGTTTGCATCGAGCCCGACCATGACGTACGTGATAGCTGTCCCGTAGGTTTAGTTTACCAAGGTATTTAATGCATGTCAGACAGTGGTCGACCACCGCTGATATTGAACCGCCATTGCTCAATCTATAAATAGCCCCTCTTTTTACCATTTATCACTTTTACATTTTCAATCTCCAAATTTTCCAAGTTCTTCTTCTGAGTTCATCGGTAAATCTGTGATTTTTTATTACAAAATCTTTCTTCAAAAACATCAAGTCTTTGTTACCTCCTTCTATTTTCGATCTTTAAATCTAAAATGGCAAAAACATCAAAAATCATTTCTCAAAAATAAAAAGCTTCTTCTTCACAGTCTGCCGCCGACAAAACGTCGGTGGAGCCACGACCTGAGGAGTGCGTTCCTGGGGCGTGTGTTCTAACCTCTGATTTTAAGGTCGACAAAGGCTCGTCAGTTTTTGGCCGATGTGAGCCAGTATCGAGGTATATGTGTTCGATAACCGAGGGGTACCTCAAACAGATAAGAAAAGATTGCAATTGGGAGAACAAAGAAATAATAATCACGTCTCCTGAAAAAAAATATCACCACTCACGTGAAAGGGTTTTTAAGCGTGTATACTTACCCTTTCACGTTAGGTCCTCTCGACCCTATTATTATTATTGATTTCTGTTGTCAATACCAAATAACCCTAGGCCACATCCATCCTTCTTCTTGGCGGATCGTTATTTTGATCCGTTTCTTTGTGAACAAAATCGAGGGGATACTTTTCACCCTCGACCATCTCATTCGATTGTACTGCCCTCGCCTCTTTCAAGGCGGGTTAATAAAGCTTCAGCGTCGGGCTACTAAGGTTCTGTTCTCGAGCATAGACGAGGACAAGGATCGAGGCTGGAGGGCAGGTTCGTTCGAGTGAAGACTTCGGACCTGATTCCGTCTGAAAAGATGCCATTTTCCGAGGAGTGGAACATGAAGCGTAAGTGTAATTCTGCTGTTATGTCCTACTGTTTTGCCCCTTCATTTCTTCCTCACTGATATCCCCCTTTTGTGATGCAGCGGTTCCTTGGATTCCCGGTGCAGTTCCTGACCTCATGAACTGGGTACGGTGTCTAGCTTCTACCTCTACATATGCTGAGTGCTCATGGCGTGATTTGTCAAAGGGCCGATGGGAGGCCAAAAATCATGGTAAGCCTCTTTCTCGTATATTTAGTAATTCAAACGATATGCTCTCTATATACTTAAATGAATTTTCTTGTATGTAGGCCTTGGTAAATATGCGGTTTTGAGGCCCCCATCCCTCGAAGAAGAGGCTTCGGCCTCTGTCCCAAAATCGGTGAAGGATAATAAGCGAAAAAGGGCCTCCACTTCCGAAGATCCAAAATCGAAGACGAGGATAGCCCGTAAGGCGAGGAAGAATACCATCCCTTTGACTATAGAATCAGTTCTGCATCTAAGGGATGAAGACGAAGAAGAAAACGACGGGTCTGTGCTGGTGGCCCGAATGAAGAAAACCATCGATGCCCCAAAGGAAGCTGAATCCATGGTGATTTATAAAGCTCTGCCTCATACTGAGGAGATATCGGAGGAAGGTTCGAGCAGAGTCTCCGAATCGTTAGAGATCGAGGATGCTTCCCACCGAAGTCAACAAATGGTGGGTATATCAAAAGGGGTCGGTCCTGA